GCCATGAATCAAATCTGGATTAATACCTTACATTTGAACATCAAAATAATTATGGGAGACAAATCATATTTCCATAAATGTACACATAAATTGGATTTTCTAGGAACAAAAGAAAAAAAAATAGATTTATCTTATTCACAAAACTCATTAAATTAACCAAACCTTAAGTAATAATTAAATTAGAATTACTCAGCTCGCATATACACATAATACTTATACACACCTACAATAAAAGACACAAAACCACTCCTCTACAAAATTAATCCTCAAGAAACATACAACTCAAATTGACTAAATCAATAAATCATAAAATGTTTCTTAAATCCACAGATTCATTCTATTGTAAAAATGCCAAAATCAGATACACATAAATGTATAAGGTCTCCAATATTTTGCCCCTTTATCCTATACTTAAATTGATCCAAGTAGACCCACATTAATCAACCTTAAAACCAATACATGACATAAGATTTAAATAATCAAGTAGGAATACATTAACAAACTACAAAACCAATACATGACATGGGATTGAAATAACCATTTATTAAAGTCTCAAATTTCACTATTTTCAAGCAAATCCACATTAATCTACTTCAAAATCAATCGTTTGAAGGTAAAAATCAATATGTATAGATAACACTTGATCAAATATTTGATTTCAATTTCATTAACAAACTCTAACTAAGCACAACATGAAAATTGAAAATTTCTAGTGTTTGGAAAATTACCTAGCTATTCTCAAAAGAAAAAAAAAACCAGTGACATGAGAGTCAAGTGGACAAGATTGCCGCTTGAATTCAACCACAGTAGAAATTTACTCCCAATTAGCATCAAATCAAGAAGATAAAAAGCACAATTGNAAACCAGTGACATGAGAGTCAAGCGGACAAGATTGCCGCTTGAATTCAACCACAGTAGAAATTTACTCCCAATTAGCATCNACCAGTGACATGAGAGTCAAGTGGACAAGATTGCCGCTTGAATTCAACCACAGTAGAAATTTACTCCCAATTAGCATCAAATCAAGAAGATAAAAAGCACAATTGTTGTTAACCATATAGAAAAGAGAAAAAATTTAATTTCCAAAATAGTTTAATAGCATAACCAAAAATTGTGCTTGTGAAAAATAGGCTTTGGGGAGGGTATTGTCATTGTGTATAGCGAGATGTGTGTGAAAAATATAGTGTGTCTGTGTGTGAGGTAGTATGAAGACGGAGAGAGGAAGAATGCGACTGTGCATGTGTTATTGTAGAGATAGAGAGAGAACGAGAGATTACTTGGATCCATTGCAGAGAAGAGGGGTTGATCTATGGTGGGTGCATCCATGATAGAGAGAGAATTAAGATCGATGATGGGTCACTGGTCATCGATAGTGGCTTGTTGCATCATTGTTGGTGGCTTCATAGACGAGAGAGAAGTAAGAGTCGTGAGACAGAGAAAGGGAGATGTTGGTTGATCATCGGTGGTTGAACCAGCAAAGGGGAGCGAGAAGTCCAAATTCTTCTAAGAGAGTGAGAGAAAGAGGAAAGAGAGAGAGCATCTAATGAGTTGGGTTTGGGTAACGTGTAGGAGTTGGGTAGCATATAGGAGTGTTCTAATTTGGGCGGGAATTTGGTTTTGGGTGGGATGTATTGTGAGCTTTTGGATTCAATTAAAAGAATTGAGATGAAATCTAGACAATTGAGTTAAAATTAGATTAAATCTAAGTCATTCTTGTGCTTTCTCAATTGAATAAGAAATGGAATAAATTTTAAAATAAAATATATATATATATATAGGAGATGAGATAATGTGTTTAAAACCTCTAAGAGATAGGAGAGGGAGAGGGAGAGAGAGAGAGAGTTATATGAGTGTTATAGTTAAGTCCAATTATGATTTGTCGGATCAAATGCCTGAAAATAATCTGAGCCATGAAAAGCTAAAGACAAAGAAATCTAACTACTTTATTATATTGTACTTTCTCAATTGAATAAGAAATAGAATAAAATTTAAAATAAAAATGAATTCAAAATGCACTCTATCTTATTTTTATTATTATTATCATCTATATATATATATATATATGAGATGAGATAGTGCGTTTAAAACATCTAAGAGATAGGAGAGAGAGTTATATGAGAGATATGAGTGTTATAATGAAGTCCAATTATGATCGTTAGATCAAATGCCTAAAAATAATCTAAGTCACAAAAAGTTAAAGACAAAAAAATCTACCTTCTTTATTATATAGATGTGTTGAAATTTAGTTATTATTAAGTCCACCATTTTTTTTATTTTGTGATATCATTAGCTTTTTAGTGTGTTTTAGCAAAAGCTAATGACGGGGGTGTAATTAAAGCAGATATATATTAAAAGGGGTGTTAGTAAAATTTCTAAAAATATAAGGGGTATCTAGAAATATATAACATTAATAATTATTCCCCGTGCCTAAAGGCACGACATAATAAAAAAAATGGTCAACATATTTGTATTCACACCTAAAATCAAATCACAAACATAGAAGAGAGATAGAAGAGAGATAAGAAAATTTAACCACCGATTATAGTGGGGTGAGCGGTGGTAGTGGTGGTGGGTGACAGTAGTGATGACGGGAGACGGTGATAGTTGTGGTGGGTAAGACGATAATCGTGGTGGTGGTAGCAGCCATAGATGGCAATGGTGACGGTGGTAGTGAATTTTGAGTGACGATGATGGTGGTGGCAGCCGTGGGAGACAACGGTGGTGGTGGTGGATAACAGTGATGGTGGTGGGACGACGATGGTGGTGGCGGGCAGTGATGATGGTGGTGATGGGTGACCGATGGGTGCTTTTAGGCTACAGTGTGATGAGTGTCATGATAAGAGTGGTGGGGGTGGGTGACAGTGGGTGGCTGTAGTAGTGGGCAATGACGGTGGGACGATGGTGGTAATGAGATAATGGTAGTAATGATAATAAATATAAGAATAAGATGATGATGGTGTTGGATGGTTGGCATGGACGACGATGGTAGCAATCGGTGGTGGGTGACGATGGTGGCGGTGGGGTAGTGAAGGTGGGGTGGGGGTGGAGGTGGGGCAATGACGATGGTGGGTTGGTGATGGGGGTGATGGTGGGATAGTAGCGGTGGTGGTAAGGTGCGACATCGATAGTGATGATGGTAGGGTGACAGCTGTGGTGGTGGGGTGGTGATGGTGGTGGTAGTGGTAGTGGTAGTGGTAGTAGTAGTGACGATGGTGGGGTGGTAGTGGTAGAGGTGGGCAGTGGTGATAGTGGTTATGGTGGTGATGGGGCAATGGAAGTGACGATAGTGGTGTTAAGGTGGTGGCAGCAGCGGTGGTGGTGGCAACAACGATAGTGGTGGTGGTGGGGTGGTGGATATGGTAGAGTGGCAATAGTGATGGTGGTGGGGGTGAGGGTGAGAGTGACGGTGGAGCGGTGGGGTTGGCGGTGTTAGAGGTAATGGTGAGGTTGTTCCAAACACTATTTTTTTTTAAAGTACATATGAGAAATAATTCTTAGAAATAATTTTAAAAAGTTACTTAAAATACACCCTTAAGGATCTATTTTTCATATTAAATTTGGGGTGTTAATTAACTTTAAAGTAAAATTTAAAACGATTTCAACCGCGAATAGTAAAAATTATTTTGTTCATTTTTAAAACTTGAATTGTGTTATACTCCCTCTGTTCCTAAATATCTGTCAATTAAGTTTTTTACACAAGGATTAAAGAAGTTATTAAATAGCTCTAATATGTGTAAAAAATAATTAAACAAGATTAAAATACCTTTATTCAATACGTATTGGGAAGGAAAGGAATATGAAAGACACTTAGTCTACACTTAATCTATTAAGTATTTATTAAAAATATAGAGATAAGGGTAAATTTGGAAGAAAAAATATTTATTATACNAAGAATATGAAAGACACTTAGCCTACACTTAATCTATTAAACATTTATTAAAAATATAGAGATAAGGGTAAATTTGGAAGAAAAAATATTTATTATACTTTGGTTTCATAAAACGACAGATATTATAAAAAAAAAAAATTGTGTAAAACGACAGATATTTAGGAACGGAGTGAGTACTTTATTATATACTCACTCTGTTTCTAAATATCTGTCGTTTTACATAATTTTTTTTATTTCATAATATTTATCGTTTTATGAAACAAAAACATAATTAATATTTTTTCTTCCAAATTTACCTTTAACTTTTTAATATATTAAATTAGGTGGAGGTTAGGTGCCTTTTATATTCTTTTTTTTTCAATATGTATTGAATTAGAGTATTTTTGTCTTGTGTAATTATTTTTTATTCATATTAGAACTATTTAATAATTTTTTTAATCTCNACATAATTAATATTTTTTCTTCCAAATTTACCCTTAATTTTTTAATATATTAAATTAGGTGGAGGTTAGGTGCCTTTTATATTCTTATTTTTTCAATATGTATTGAATTAGAGTATTTTTATCTTGTGTAATTATTTTTTATTCATATTAGAACTATTTAATAATTTTTTTAATCTCTGTATAAAAATTTTAAACAATAAATATTTAAGAGGAGAGAGAATAGAAAATAATCCGTGAATATGAGGGACGAATTGGTAACTCCTCGTTATTATTATTTTGCAGAAACTTTCCCCTGGATTTTGGCCAATGGGATGGGTTCCACTGATATACGGTCCTGAAGCTGACATGAGGTGAGAAACGATTTAATGGGTCATCCATTGATGGAATAGAATCGATCCTTTTCCATGGCTGCGCTTTATGTCCAAACAAAATTCAATGGCTGCTCTTTATGTCCTAATAAAATTGTGGTTATGAAGCAGATAAACATTATTGCATAAAAATCCGCCCATGAACATATACAAAGCTATAGAATATTGCAATTTGGTTGTCAAACCAGTACAACTACAGATAAGATTTACTCTCTCTCTCTCTCTCTCCGCCTGCTCTGTCCCACCATCTCCAATATCAACACCAACAGCAAACCAAAAACTTTTGAGAGAGAGAAAAAGAGAGGAAAGAGATAGCGTCAAATCACTTCTGCTTCACAGCTCACCATATATAAAAAGAAAATCCAAAGTTAAATAAACCCAAAAAACGAAAAGATTCGAACTGTTTTGTTGTTCCAGATTTTGCCCTCTTTTGTCTGTTCCGAATTATAGAGATCTCCATTGTGGTAAATCCGAAAATAAGCCAAAAACTCAGAGCCTTTTGGACCCAAAACTATAAACTCGACCTATCTTCAATAACGGTGGGATTTGGAAGCGTCTTCCGGCTCAGTTTGTGAGTTAGATCTGTTACTGATTGAACAAAATGGTTTTCTCTGCAATCATTTGATGGTACTTCATTAATTCAGTATGGATTGATTCGGAATGGATGGGGAAACGGTGGGATGTCGTTTGTTTTTGTGTTCTGACCGATGCTAGTCAAATGCTTCGTGAAATTTTCAGATCTATAGTGTAATTTCAGAATCTAGCAAATAATTTTGGGAATAGAAAGCTAGAAACTCGAAGGACTAGAGAGAGAGCTTCAAGAGGTGAAATTTTGATCGGAATCGCTTCAGATGGATTTTGATGATATTCGTATGATTTTACTGAAGTCAAATGTGGATGTGTGGACTTTGATTGAAACGGCGATCGCCGTTGCTTCATTGGACTGCGGTGAAGAATTGAAGCACCGGAGGGACTCGATCGTTGAGAAACTCTACGCGAGCTCGGGTCAGCGGTCGGGTAGCTGCCACGATGACGATGATCGTCGGAAGCGGAACGGTCACCACGTGACTACCAAGACTTGGATCGAGAATGAGAACAGTCCGATCGAGAAAGAGAGCAGTCTGGAAGGTAAAGGTAGAGGTTCTCCTTCGACTCCGGAGTCGAATCCGAGAAATGATGATGATGGAGATGATTTAGATCCGTATGGAGGATTGTTCGACGATGAGCAGACTAAAATTCTCGCAATCAAAGACCAGCTAGAAGATCCACGCCAGGTCAAATGTTCTTCTCTGAATTTGTTCCTCCCATAAATTTGTGCTTCCAGTTTCAAAATAAATAAACAAAATTTTCTGCTATCTGATTCACTGATTTTCTGTGGTTGTTTTGATTTTTGTGTTTTTTCGTTCATGTAGTCTGAAGAATCTGTGGCTGAATTGCTACAAAACCTAGCAGATATGGAAATTACATTCCAAGCTCTTAAGGTAAAATTGGTGATTTGGATAAAATACATTGATGTCTCCAAACATACTGTTAATGTCATTAGATTGATTAACTTTCCATTGTTACAATTTAGTCTCATATATTACTCATTATAATGTAAAATTGTGAATGCATAGTTATGCCAGAGTGCACGTGTGTGTATTGTTATCAGGAAACAGATATAGGAAGGCACGTGAATCAATTTCGGAAACATCCATCAAATCAAGTGCGGAGATTGGTGAAGCAACTTGTCCGGTTTGTTGAAGATTTGAAAACTCAAAGCTTTTGCATTCTAGATTTTACTCATTTAAAACTCTAAAGAAGCAGTTAGAGTCATTGAATTGGGCTATTGGTTTTATAATGTATCAGAAAATGGAAAGAGTTGGTGGATGAATGGGTTCGGGTGAACCAAACCGAACAAGATGCTTCTACTATCATTGGTAATTATCATCCATACCCATACATTCAGTCTATAGCTAGTTTCCTCTGTCTAGAATTGCACACACAAATATACAAGGTAATTACTGCGAAGAGTTCAAATTCTTTCGACTAAAAAGGTGGTGGTGTTGGTGGCAGCCGATGGAGACTCACCACTGCAGAACACACTGGCAAAGAATTTTCAAAAAGATCATCACCAGGTGAAGTTAGCAATTTTCTAATAAACAAAAACAAAATGTTGGGTTGAAAATTCCACATTCTGATCTCTGAAGTTATGGTCTCAATTTACAGGTGCCTGATTTTGCATATTCTCCAAATCCGCATAGTAAGTATTAAATATACCTCATTTTCAGTTGGGACATTGTTTCTATGCATTTGACAATCTATTTCAATTGTAGCTGGGAGTTCTGGCTCAGACAAGAACAATTCAGAGCCAGAGCAGAAGCCAAAAGCCATTCCTAAAAGAGATGCTCCCACCAAGCCTCCTCAATCTGTTCCTCTACCTGCTTCTGTTCCTCCTCCAAACGTAATGATCACATATATTGCACATATGCATTGATAGATATGTTCAAATGCTCTGCATATTTCACTGCTGGGAAATTTGACGAAAGGAAATAATATGCTGTTTTGGGTCTCATGGGTTGTGCTGTATTAATTTTCCTGAAAATAAGAGGTATCTGTTGGGTTAAGCTTGGTTGTTTTGGTTTTATTGGTTCATCAAGTCAGAGCACCTGTTGAGTTAAAAGTTTTACTTTCCTTCTCTTTCTTTATTTATTTTTTTTGTTTTGGCATATTTTCTAGGCAGCCGAACAGAGTAAACATTTTGAGAATCAGTGTTTTGAAGTAATGTTTTGGGAAAATTTGTAGAGACCCAAGAAGGAAACAGGCATAGATGTTGAAAAATTGAATTCTGCAAGGCGGCGGCTTCATGAGAACTACCAAGAAGCTCAAAATGGTTTGAATATATTCACTGATTTGATCTGAACTTTAGAAAATGTTATTCCTCATCTTGGTTCTGTTGCTCTTTGTGCTGATTCTTTTTCTTTGTGCTTTTCGTATTTGATTTGTGAAGCCAAAAAGCAAAGGACGATTCAGGTGATGGATATACATGAGATACCAAAACCAAAGAATGCCTTCTTTGCCAAGAATAAAGGCGGCTTTCAAGGGAGGCAGCATCGGTGATGGGTGGGTTATTCCATACATTATATATGCTGTAATGTGTACCATACGATGGACCGGATTTGTACCTTGTTTTGACTGTTACAGGGTTACCACAAAATGGCATATCCCTGTTGTCAGATTTTTACCCCCCCCCCTAAAACTCATTGATACTTAATTAATACTTCCTCTATTTCTAAACATTTGTCGTTTAAGATTTTTTGTTTTTTTGCATAGAGATTAAGGAAGTTATTAAATAGCTCTAATACGAGTAAAAAATAATTGCACAAAACTAAAATACCCTTATTCAATACGTATTGGGAATGAAAGGAATATGAGAGATATTTAGTCTCCACCAAATTTAATGCATTTAAAAGTTAAGGGTAAATTTGAAAAAAAAATATTAATTATGTTTTAGTTTTATAAAACGATAGATATTATGAAATAAAAAAAATTGTGTCAAACAATATATATTTAGAAACGGAGAGATGACTAAAGTTATTGTCCAAGTGTATAAAAACTCTGTGAGCAACAGAGCTTGGGAGTCNTGGATATTATGAAATAAAAAAAATTGTGTCAAACAATATATATTTAGAAACGGAGAGAGTACTAAAGTTATTGTCCAAGTGTATAAAAACTCTGTGAGCAACAGAGCTTGGGAGTCTCATTTAGTAGTTCTCACTAGTCATTGCAGGCGTGCATGGGACAGGTATATATACACATTTTGTAGGTACTTCCTAAATTTGTAAAACGTGGAGCTTGACCAAACCAGTAATATTGTATAGTGTCGATTTTAGTACTTGTTGTGTTTTTATCAATAATAGTATTGATAAAAAAAATATTTAATTCTGCAGTAACTCAAGTAGTACGCTGTAACTTTTTTTTTTATAAAAAGCATAAAATATTTATACTTGTTAATTATGTTATTTGTATCTAACTTTAATTTGATCTAACTTATTATTTTCAAATTTTGTATGGAGTCAAATGGGAGTTGGGGTTCCGAGAATGGGTAAAATTGACTACGGTAAGTATTAATCGTCTTATGTCGGCAAGAGAGAGGATCACTCGTCATCATCAGTGAAGGTTGATGTATGTCTAATCTATTACTAAAACACTGTTGTTTTGAAACTTAGTTCTCAAATTATGATATTTTTTAAAAACGGAGTTAATAATTATATTTTTATTAAAAATAGTTTTAATAATTTTGCTTTTGTTAAAAAATTAGATCAATGATCCCGCTTTTAAATANATTTAGTTATCAAATTATGATATTTTTTAAAAACGGAGTTAATAATTATATTTTTATTAAAAATGGTTTTAATAATTTTGCTTTTGTTAAAAAATTAGATCAATGATCCCGCTTTTAAATAAAAAAAGTGGTCTAAAATAATGAATTGAAACACGTTAAAAGCGTGGTTAGTAACCACACTTTTAAGATATATATATATATATATATAAAATAAAATAGTTTATAATTCAAATTTCAAAAATAAATAAAATGACTTTTTCTATTCGCGGTTGAGATCGTTTTAAATTTTATTTTAAAATTAATCTAACGGGTAATATTAACACCCTAAATTTAATTAGAAAAATAGATCATCAAGGGTATGTTTGGAGTGACCTTTTAAAAATACTTTTATAAATTATTTCTCATAAATTATTTTAAAAAAAACATAATGTTTGAAATCGCCCCACCACAAACCTCTACTCCCACCACCACCACTGCCACCGCCATCCCCGTCGTCACCACCGCCATCCCCGCTATCACCCCCACCACCATCGTTGCCACCACCAATGCCACTAGGGTCGTCGCCGGACCCGCCACCATTGCCACCGCCACCCGGATTATTGCCACCCACCACAACCATCCTGTTTTCTACCACAACCACTGTTGCCCACCACATCTCACCCCCACTATAAAATCGATACTTAAATTTTTTTATTTTCTTTTTATGTTTGTGATTTGATTTTGGATATAAATCACAAATATGTTTATTATTTACCATTTTTTATTATTCTGTGCCTTCAGGCACAAGTAATAACTAATACATATATAAAGAATGATGTTTGATTTTTGAATGCTATTTAAGTGCTCTATCTGCTTCCGTTAAAGCTCGAGCATTTTTCTGGTAAGTTTTTAAAACTTTTTTTTTGTTGGGTAAGTTTTTCAAACTTTTCTTTTTAGATTAAGATTCTTCTGCTTTCAAAAAAATGATTCTTATTGTTTTTTCTTAAAAAAAAAATCGGTTGTTTGATTGTCTTCTTCTCCCCTATCAGGAAATAGAAACAACTTTTTGGGTATCTCAAATTTTGCTATTCTAATCTTAAAAGCTATTTTTTGAAAGCATCTTTAGAGAGATAAAGAGGGAATAGAGAGTGAAGGGAGTACGTAGACTCAATGTTGTAGATCAAGTTTTTGTGGGTATTTTCCAACAGTTCTGTTTCTCAGTAATGGTGTGAATATGTCAGGTGAAAGAGTGAAAAATGTGTTTAATAAACATGTTTTTTTTCAAAAAACTGTAAAAAGTGTGTTTACAAAATACGCTTTTCTCATTGTGCAAAATTTTTGTTCATTAAAAGCGGAGTGGTTGAATCCGTTTTTAACAAAAGCGGAGTGGTTGAATCCGTTTTTAACAAAAGCGGAGTTGTTAAATCTGTTTTTTTAACAAAAACAGAGTTATTAAATCTGTTTTTAAAAAGTGTCGTAATTTGATAAATAAGTTCAAAAATACCGTATTTTGATATTAAAATTTTAAAACAACTGTACTTTGGTGATAGATTCGATGTATGTTATCCTACCTTAATTCATGTGTTAATTCGAATTAAAATAATAAAAGTAAAAGAAAAGTGAGATATTCTATGTAGAATCATCCTTGGAGTTAGGTTATTCAAAGATAGATAACATTCGGATAATGAATGATGACAAGATTATTCAAATATAGATAACGTTCGGTTAATAAATGATTACAACATGTCAAAACGGATGACTACAACAGATCCGTAAAGGAAACTTTTCAATTCCAACAACTCAATGCTACACAGCTTCATCATCCTAAGGTTTAAACTACAAGTAAATACCGAGTGTAAATGTGTAATGATTACCCCATTTTTTGTATATTACATGCGATGATTACTATCTTACCTTACATGAATGAATAGTTAGTTGAAAGTGGGTGTTCATTTTTCCTCACTTGTTAATTTATTGTTAGACTGTTACACCACATAACATCATGTCATGGTATAACCATTACAATGCATATTTTCTGGGGGGGTGGGGTTTGATTTATTATTTGTTGTATAACAATTTTTGAATTTTTGTGATCTTGGAAATACTTTTATTTAAGTATATAGTAAGTCCATTCCAAGATGAGTGCTCTTCTATATTGACTTTCCCAAAGCTTCCGGTAGCACAGCTGAGATAGAGACGAGTTCTCTACCTCTGGGGGAATGGACCGACACAAGTTTTGAGAATTCAAGAGAAAGTTACGGTGAGACGACCCGTTTATCAATTACAATAGTTGTCAAGTGGAAGTGCAGTAATGTATGCAACTGAGACATCCTAACAGACCGATAGACTTATGGACGAAACACGAACCAATGAATTCTAGTTTCAAAGGAGTTTCCATCCCTAGATGACGAAGAGCTCAACCTCTTCTTTCTCTTTCTTTCTTCATCTTTTTGTAACTCTACTGTATTTTGTATGCACATACGATATAATATCATAAAAATGAAAGATTATGTATGGTCAAATTTGAATCGATCTTAACTAATCACTCTTACCGCTCAAAGGATAATTAATAGGTAGTGATGACAGGATTTGAACCCGTCACATTTTGTACCCAAAACAAGACGATTCTATTTTCTTACATCGATGCTCTATGCAGTTGTCATAATTTTAAGGGATATTTACACTCAAGCCTTCCGAAGTTTGTCATTTAATCACTCAGATTACCTGATATTTGAAATATTATACACAAACCCTTTGAAATTTATACGCACGTAACACTTAAACCCTTACCGTCAATGTTTGTTAGTAAATTATATTCAGAACCCCTAAAGGTTATAAATGTGTAATACTTAGATCCCTCAAGTTTAAAATATTATATTTTGACAAAAAAATCTCTAATAAAAAATAAAATATCAAAATATTTCATAATTTATAACCAAAATTCATGTTCTATTATGATATTTATTGAAATAAAATTAAAAATAAAAATCTAATTTTTTCTTAAAAAATTATAATTTGTATACAGTTATACTATATATTGGAACTTAATTCGGTCATTTAAACGACCGAATTAAACTACTAAATTATCTCAATTAAAGTTAAAATATGTTATGTTCATTAAAGTTTAACCTCTTTTTTATTTTTTTAATTTTATTCAAATAGATAGTATAGATGCAATGCTCTTTAATTTTAAAGACACCTCACGCATTAAAAACATTAGTTCCTCAACATATTTACAATCAGTGTATGTTCACTTATTTATTCCTGCCCCCAATACACACAAGCGCGAATTTTGATTGATTATAATATTCTTGGAAAATAAGCTTAATGGGAGCACTATCATTTGTAAAAATTTCATTTACTCCACCTGTAGATTAACGTGATTGCAAAGCTATTTCTCGAATTATCAGAAATTTCCTGATACTTTTGCCAGAAAAACTCTCCCTAACCTCTGCTACAAATCTGTAGATGCTAACCTACTGAGATAGACTCAAATGTAGTGATGCAACTTATCTTCACCAACTAGAGTAAATGATGTGTTTTTAATCCCATTTTCGGCTCTAATATCTCATTAGTAATGTTATTTGTACTTAAACATTTGACTTAATTTATTGACATAATCTAATAGGAATCATTGGATCAATATCAAATTTCAATGTTTGATAGGGGCCTACTAGAGATGACAATCTTAACCCATTATCCATTAATTCGTATAACTTGCCAATAAATATATGGGTTGAGTACCTATATTAATTAATATGAGTTCTAAATGAGTTGGGTAATATGTTTCATTTTAATTAAACGGGTTAATATGAATTACAAATGGGTACTCATTGGGTTTAGTATTTATCTTTTTATTAAATAACACAAAAAATAAAATAAAATAAAAATATTAATATACTAAAAAATATACACATTATTACACCCAAAAATACACACATATATAC